ATCATGGCAATTTACCTTTTGCCAGCAAAGTATTAAATATCTCTGCTCAGGCCCCAGCAATCTCCTCTCTTGCCTCCAAAAGCACCCTGGGATGCAGCTCCTCAGGCCCTGGGGATTGATGCACTTTTATGTCCCCTTAAACATTTATTCCTCTGACTTATTAATCTTAACACGATCTAGAACCTCACCATCCCAAATGAAATCTCCAGCTACAGGTCTTTTTTCTTTATGAATACAGATGAGAAATATTTATTTAAAACCTCACCCATGTCCTCTGGCTCCACACACAGATTTCCCTTTTTGTTTCCTCAAGGCCCCACTCTTTCTCTGGTAACCCTTACTCCTGGTATAATTATGAAATGCCTTGGGGTTTTCCCTAATATTTCTTGGCCCCTCTTTGCCTTATATTTTTAAAGCAACCCCCGACACACTATACTCCTGAAGGGCCTTGCCTGTTTTTAATGCTCTGCACCTAATATATGCTTCCTCCTCGTTATCAAACTCAGATACCCCTTGACATGCAGGGTTCCCTGGGCTTTCTGCCCTTGCCATTCACTCAGAAAAACATGCTGGCCCTGACCCCTCACTATACTAGCTTTAAAATACTCTCACTGTCCAAATGTAGACTTGCTGGCAAGTAGCGTCTTCCAGGCTAGGCTTGCCAGACCCTGTCTTATGATATTGAAATTGGCCTTCCCCAAGTTAGACCCTTCGTTTCTGCACTGTCCTTATCCCTTTCCATAAGGACTTTGAAACTTACAATTATGGTCACTATTCCCAAAATGCTCATCCACTGAAACTTCAACCACTCGAATGGCTTCATTTTGTAGGATTAGGTATAGGACTGCCCTACCTCCAGCAGGACTATCTACACGCTAGTGCAAAAAACTCTCCTGGGTGCTCTTTAAAAATTCCATCCCATCTAATCCTTTCACACTAAGGCAATCCCAGTTAATGTTTGCAAAGTTGAAATCCCCAACTGTTACAACTGTATTTCTCTCACACCTGTGAACTGCCTACATATCTGCTCCTCTATCTCCTCTGATTATTGAGAGGCCAGTAGTATAATCCCAACAAAAAGTGAACAACTTTTCTGTTTCTAAGCTCTACCAGATGGCCTCTTTGAAAGAGCCTTCTTCATTATGGCGAGAATGTCTCTTTTACCAATAATGCAATGACCCCACTTCTCTTATTCTCCACTCCACCCCACCCCCATCACATCTGAAAGTTCTAAGCCCTGGTGTGTTGAGCTGCCAGTTCTGCCTTTCATCCATGTCTCAGTGATTACAACATCATATTCCCACATGTGGATCAACATCCTAAGACCATTTGCCTTACCAGTCTGACTCCTTGCATTAAAATAGCTACAATTTAGCTTTTGGACATTCCCATGTACCTTATCGTGTCAATGCCTTCTCCACCTGCTGGACAGTCCTCATATTCCTTCTATATCTGATTGAACCTTGTTCCCAACTTTACATCCACTGTTCAGAGCCACGTGTTGAGCATTTAGATAATTCTTTAAAGGAACTATTTCAAGACCGGCCCTAAAATAGTTCTATCCAGTGGGTTAAAAGAGGCATTTGTCTTGGACCCAATACCGTCACTCAACTAGTAATGAAGACAAAATACCATTCCCACTGCTTACAGTAGGTGCATTTGAATAAGCTCACCTTATCAGATAAGGGTACAAATTTACAGAAGCAGGTTATGGGAGAACTAAACCATGGTGTAAATGTCGTATAAATGTCTAGTGCTTGCTATTATTTTTCAAGAAGGAATCCTAGAGATTGTCACCATCCAACATGGGCCGCTACTGTCAATAAAAAAAATCCTACAGCAATGAGCGCAGTGATTTTTCATTCATGTTTTATTGCTGACACGGTATATACAACACAAGTGATCAATGGAAGTTTATGTTCCACACAAGCTTCCTGCTACCCTACCCACATCATCTCTCCCCATCAATACAACCTTTATTCACTCTTCCCTCTTGTGCTTTGCTACCTTTTACATAAATGCAATGGGATTCTCAGACTGCAAATGAACCCTAGTAATTTGCCTTTCTTTAAAAAAAAACACTAATCCACATTGCTACTTTTTACATGGTCTACCTGGAACCTCAGATTCCTGCTCCTCTACTCTAACACTTATTTGCCCAGGTTAAG